GGTTCTGACGGGGCAATTGACCAGGAGATGTGTTGAAGGAAGGCCCCGATTCTGACAATAGAGGCAGACAGTGGTCCGCTGGGTGAATGATGGCCGGTACGGAGGAGTGGCAAGAACAGAGTCAACGTGATAATTTTGGAGAGTACCAAGACGAGTCTCTTCTGATAGCAACTCAGAAATAGCTTGTTCCAGAGTGGGCAAGGGATGGCGATGAAGAAGAGAGGCACGTACGGGCTCAAAAGATGAAGTGAGAGCCATGAGAAAGTGTACCAACCGTTGCTGATTACGATAAGCAGTAAATAAAACAGCATCTTCTGGGTGAGGCCAAGTTGGTTCGGAAAGAGCAAGCTGGTCCCAAACGGAGTACATTTGAGAAAGGAAGTCATTGATGGACTGACTAGATTCTTGGCGCATCCGATGAAGTTGGCTCTGAAGTTGATATTGATGAGCAAGACCAGTAGTCTGGTATCGTTCTTTCAAAAAATCCCAGATGTCTTTTGCAGGAGTAGTGACAGAGTCAAGCTGAAAGCGACCAAACTGAAGACTGATAGAGGTAACAGAAGTATTTCGAAACCAGGTAATGATTTGGTAATTCTTACTGTCCCATTCCTTAAGGCGATCTTCATATGTAGGAGTAGTAGGAGGAACCGTGGTTTCAGCAGTGTCTTTCACTGGTTGGGTTATGTCCCCGGTGATAATTCGCCAGAGCTTCTTTCCTTTGAGGAAGGAAGACATGGCTTGGGCCCATAGAACATAGTTGGAACCATTCAAAATAACGGAGATGGGATGGGAGGCATCATGACGATCCATAATAATAGTTGAGTAGGGCTAAATTGATAGGAATAGACCTGTAGGAGCAAAATTAGGTAAAACAGAGTGTACTAGTGAGTCCGGAAGGTCGAAAATAGCTAAGAAAGGTGGGCTGTGTAGAGATGATGGAAAATGATGTCAGCAGCGCACGTTAGCAGAAAGGGCGTGCGGCGCACGGTAGCAGAGAGGGCGTGCGGCGTATAGTAGCAGAATGGCGCACGCGGGTGCACAATAGCGGAACGGCACACGCGCGGCTCACGGTAGACGAATGGCGCACCCGGGTGCACGGTAGCAGGCGCGGCGCACGAAAGGGCAGAGTGGAAGGCGCGTGTAAGCGTGGCAACGGAAGCAGAGATGCGCCGAGCAAAAGGCTTTAGATTGGTGCCGTTGGAATCGTAAGGAGATTCCGAGCTGTTTGGTGTAGTTCCACTGTGTACGGGACTAAGAACCAAAATTGAAGAATGCCAGAATTGTATTACTGTGCTCTGATACCATGAAAGATTGATAAAGAGAGAGAGAGAAAAGAGAGAGACTGGAATGAAAGATTGGTATGGTATAGAATGTTATTTGAATAAAGAGGTACACTCTCCGTTATATAGGAGAGAACATTACAAACATCATCATGCCAAAAGTGTATCCACTAACTGAAAGTAAATGCACTAATCTAAAGCCTAAAGCACTAACATAAAATATATTAAAAAATATAAAAGTGAAAGTGTGTGGTAGTGGGTTGACAGCTACAAATGCACTATGATGGATATTGTATGTTAACAGTTGCGATCTTTCAAACCCCGGGAGCGCTCACCAATGTGGGTAGTTCATGGTTACTATGGTTTCATTCATGATAAGTATTGATGCATGGGTGCATTTAGTCCATTTACGTATTTAATATTTATATATGTATGAGATTGATGCATGGGTGCATTTAGTCCATTTACGTATTTAATATTTATATATGTATGAGATCCGTTTATGTTTTTTTTTTTTTAAATAAATATTTATCAACTCGTATAACTATTCCACTGCCCTCTGTTACTTCTCCCTTCTAAGCATGTCCTACTCTCCCTGTAGTACATCTCCCTATTCTAACCATTTTTACAAGAAAGTAGGAAATTTGTAAAATCCATATTCTATCCTCGTGGGAATTACCATATAAGGTAACAAGAATTTTTTTTTTTCTGGAAATACACAAATTGGCACATAATAGGATAGATGTAGTTGAACATGAAACCTTGGAGTTTTTTTCAAGTTCGATAGTATTGTTTTTTTTTACATCAGAAATATTTTTACTTTGGTATCCATTGTATAGTTTGTCTTGCTTCACTTTTGACACCTAATCTTAACTTCAGTTCTTATTGACACTAAAACTATGAGTCCATTGTTTGTACCATTCTCATTTAAAAAATAAAAATAAAAATAAAGAATTACATTCTAATCTATTAGAAATATCAATGCACTTGTGGCAATATTGACATATAGCTGTTTTACCAGAATTTATGATTTGCATACTTTTAGGTGCCCTCAAAAGGTATAGTTCGGTTTGATTTGTCGCTGAAACAAAATTTGTTTTTTTCCCTGTAGGTCACTGGATGTGGCATTATCAAACTCTTCTCTTGTCCGTCGAGTGGAATTCTGAATCATCAACCTGAAACCTCTCTTTTCGATTGGTATCATAGCATCTTTGTTGCTTGTTTGCTGTAGTAACCTAATTGGATCTTGGAAGATATGTCAATGGCGATGCATATGCCTAGCAAAAATGACGAATGGAGACCCCCATTGTTTGATGGTTCAAATTATGCATGTTGGCAAGCTCGCATGAAGACGTTCCTGTGGTCTTACCGTGTTTGGTTATGGTTTGAAATTGGATGTGGACCTCCTCCGGTGTTAGACCCTAGTGGTAAATATAACCCTAGATCTTGTAATGACTGGGATGAATCAGACTCTGAAAATATTGGCTGGAATGCTAAGGCACTAAATGCGATTTTCTGTGCTGTTACCCCTAGTGTGTTTTGGAAGATCTCTAATTGTGGTACGGCCAAGGATGCTTGGGACACTATTAAAGTTAATTATGAGGAAACACTCTGCGTAAAAAACTTGAAACTTCAAGCCCTAGCCACAAAGTTTGAAGAATGTAGAATGCGGAAGTCAGAAACTTTTGATGAGTTTTATGATAGGCTTAGTGACATTGTCAATTCTAGGTGCAACTATGGGGAACTGATAAGTGAGTCTGAAATTGTAAGGAAGGTCCTTAGGTCTCTCCCTGAACGATTTAGGTTTAAGGTCATTGCTATAGAGGAGTGTAAGGATATTTGTTCCATGAGAATTGAGGATTTAGTAACATCCCTCCGAACCTATGAGTTGAACACGTTTCCACCGAAGAGCATAGATTTCAAAACCGTTGGGGAGGATGATGTTACATCTAGTGATGATGAACTAAGTGAGGAAGACCTAGCTAAATTGTTTAAGGAATTTAAAAAATTCCTCAAGCTCGAAAAGGGTAAAACTTCCACATCTTCTAGGAAGGGTGAAAACTCAAGGTCTCATCAGATTAAGAGTTACAAGAAGTCTGACTCTGGTAAAGGTAGGAAACCCCAAGTTATTCAATGTTATGAGTGTCACGGCTTTGGTCACATAGCTAAGGACTGTGCTAATAAGAAAAGGACTAAGGCTAAGGGGAAGAAGGTAGCCACATGGGATGACACTGAGTCTAGTGAGGGAGAATTTTAGTGTTTTTCCTGTCTTCAGGTTCCTATTGTTGGATTTATTTTTTTTTTGGATGTTTTTTGCTTTTCATGATTGTTGGAACGTGTGCTTTAATGTTAATTATCTTTATCAATTCACTATACGTTTCACTAGGTATTCTTGTTTGATTGTTTTGATATGGATTATCCTGGATTTTCATCTGCTGCAATGAAGACATCTACAACTTTGTGATGCTGTTGAACGTTTCTCTTAGTGGAAAAGAATGGGGTCAATGAAGACATCTTCTGCAATCTGTTTGGATTGCTTTTTTTTTTCTTTCTTTCTTTGCTTTGTAGTTCTCTTTTTTACCTTTTGAACTTTGTAGTTTCCTGCTTTTATCTATGAAAGAAGCTCTGTTCTTGCAAAAAAAGGGGACAAAACACTGGTTCTGAGAGACGGAACCTTCATAGAGAACAATGACTGGTAACAAAATAGTCATCCACCCCTTGGTGACCTAGTGGTCAGTGGTCACATGTTCGAGTCGCGGAAACAGTCTCTCCGTTTGTTAGGGTAAGGCTGTGTATGTCGACCCTTTTCAAGATCTTGCTTTAGCAGGAGTTTCGTGCAGTGGGTATGTCCCCCTTTCATTTAAAATATATATATGGAAAATGACTGGTAGCTCGAAAAAAGTGGCCCGATTTTGGCTCGAATCGCAAAACGACGTCGTTTTGCGATTCTTTTTTTTTTGTTTTTCCTTTTCTTTCTTTCTTTTCTTCTTCTTCTTCGTTGAACACAGGAGAAGAACAGAGGGGAAGAGGAGAAGAGAGGGAGAAAGAGAGAGGAGAGGAGAGGAGAGAAGGGCCCCTCCTGTGCCTCCGCCGGCGCCGATTGTCGCAGCATCTCCGATCGTTGCAGCAGCAGCTCCAATCGTTGCAGCCTTGCCTTCGGCCCCGCCTCCTCCAGCCCGATTTTGATAGCCTCCTCCCCTCCAGTTCTCCTTCTTCCTCCTCCTTCCTCCTTCTTCTTCTTCTTCTTCTTCTCCTCCGAATTCGAGCCAAATTCGAGCCTCCGAATTCAAGCTACGAATCGGAGTCGTATATATATATATATTTTTTTTTAAACAAAAGATCTACATACATATAAAGACTATTGAAGCAGATCATTAGGGAAATTAAATCTCATGGAGTTCAATTTCAATTCCAGTTCAAGTAACTCACGAACCCATAAGGGAGGATTGCACAGTAATGTACATTTAATTTTTTCAAGACTAGAGAGCAATGCATCCCAACAATTTAATAATGTTGTTTGTTATCCAATTTTCATATGAGTAATGATTCATCCCCCTTTTTCCCCCACCTCCTTTGACCCCCTCTCTCTCTCATTGGTTACCTTTTCTTTTTCTTTTTCTTTTTTTTCCTGCTCCACCAATCACCTCATGCCACGTGGCAAGGGGGGGTGAGGGGGTGACTCCCAAAAGGGGGTCCCAAGCATTATTCTTTTCATATATAGAAAACAATGTTTTTATCTCGGTAAGAAATTTAAGCAAAAATGTTAAAATATAAACGAATTTGGTAAATTAGTGGCACATTGGAATGGCTAAAATGGTGTGAAGAGATGTGAGAAAAAAAACAAGTAAAAACAAAAAAATATTTGCAAGTCCACCTTGACAAATCTTTTTTTTTATTATTTTTGAATCACAAATACTGCGCCCATAATATTAGGAATAAGATTGCAAAAGTCTTGCCTTCTCTAAATCTTTGTTTTAACATGACCCTCTCACTCCAACTTGCTGTTTTGTGAAAATAAAAACAGTTTTAAAATGAAATTTTGTTTTTAATTTTTCAAATTTTATAAAAACAGAACAAAATTGTTATCAGAAGGGCTGAGTGAACCCCTCTACATGTACGGTTACTAAAATACTAAATTATATTATATGGAGAAATTGGGAAGCAAGGGGTGAACTTCTCTTCTTCTGTAGAAATAAACTTAGACATAGCCGAGTTCAAATTGTCTATCAGGTAAGGTCTATAGATGGTATTTTATGTTCTCATTCTTCATTTCCTAATACAACTCAAATCTGGGAAAATGCAACAAAATATCCAAAAGAGGAAAATGTTCCTCAGTGCCTCCTCGTTTTCGATTCGCTTTTGGAAAGCGTCGTCCCTGAAAGCTTGTTGATCTCATAGAGTAGTCCAGCAGAGAACAATAAGCTGCAATGGGTTACAAAAACATCAGTATAGCATCATAAGCAAAAACTCGGTTTTAAAAGCTCCCATTGAGCACTACTACGAAAATTTGAAGTATTTGATGAGAGCATAACAATCCACAACCCTATTTTCTCAAGCTCAAATTAAATTTTCTTATGTTTCTTGGAGATAAAATTGATTTAAAGAAATGATGCTAAACAAATAAACAAACAAAAAAGCACAGATGATCCAGTATAAACCGGCTAAATGGAAATCCTTAACGCCATCTCTCTGCTTCTGCATACCTGACACAAAACCTGTAATATTCAAAGGTAATACAACTCTGTTCCTTATAAATACCCTATAATGAGAAACTGCGAAGTTTTGAGTCATTTTCCCGACTAGCTGGAACCAATGTTCCATCCTAGAAGAAGTTAATATGCAGTTAAGACTATCCACTTCAGACCATTCTCGAGAATGGTGGTTGAGTTCTTCCCAGCAACACACGTTACTGGATCAAAATTCATCTAACCATTTAAGTAGAGACGTCATCAACAGAAGCACTCCAAATACAAAGAGCAAATGGGAAGAAACAAAATGAAATAAAACAACCTCCAAATTTGTCCATGGGGAAAGCATCATCCAATTGAAATTTAAAGACTCTTGTCGAGGAATGAATCATAGACTTTCCTTTCTTATCAGGAACCTACCATGTGCTATCAAACTCTTCATTCCCCCATTAATGACAGAAACAGAGATAATATAGATAAAATGAGAACCACACATGTATATCCTAATTGGGGTGTCTCTCACTATACCACCATTTCTTCTAAAACCTCACCTTTCTCCATTGACACAAGTCAAAGGTTGACTTGCTTCTATCAACATATGCTAAGATTAGGAAACACCTAAAGGAGATGCTTGCTTCTCTAACAAGAAAGATGTACATTTACAATCATATTCATCAAATGCTAGACATGTATAACCCACCCCAGAAAAAAAAAGGTGAAGATGCAAAAAATACTCATAATTCAGATTACCAAGAACATCATGAATTCCTAACTATTTAATGCACCATGTCTTCCTATACTATAATATGCCAACACATCACAAAGTAAAAAGAGAGCAAAACTCGAATTAACCCTAAAGATTAAAATACCTCTATATCAATTATCAATTAACCAAAATATATGGCCGATAAACATCAGCACAATTTGGGCAGCAAACTTATGGTCTTCAAGATGGGGGATTTCGTCAAAACCCCATTAGAATAAAATTTTAATGCATTAAGGACAAACAAAAAGTTTTCCTTGAAAAGTCCAACAAATATTGCTATTATCAAAATATTAAACTTTAAAATAATATAACTTTTGATGTAAATGTCGGCTTTTAATATTTCTAGAATTCTCTCATCACCCATTTAATGAGACTTAAGGCTTGATTTTGATTTCGTTTGGTTTGGTTAGAATTCTCTCATTAAGATCTATCAAATAAGATCCATGTTGACTATGAAATTCTTTTTTTAAAAAAATTTATTACTGTTAAAATTAATGTAAACAGTAACAGTAACATGAAAAGTTTTTAAAGGCGAATGAGTATCTCGAGGCGTTTTACCCCTCATGAGGTGAGGCGTAAGCCTCAGGGCGCTGAGGCGTAAGCATTTCAAATCTCAAAATTTTAATATTTAGTGAATAAATTAAATATATTAAAATAGTAAAAAAATAAAAACAAAATTAAATATAAAGATGTAAATACTTTTTGCTTGAAGGCGTTGAACATTTTACTGCATAGAAGGAAGTTTTCATTCACTGAAAGTGAAATTGATATTCTTAACTTGAGTGATTGAGCTTCTCACTTGACCATTAAATGTGATTTTTCTTGGTTGATCATTTACTTAATTTTTCCTGGTGATTATAGTTGTAAAAAGGGATTTTTTTATTTTTTTTTAAAATTTTTTTTATTTTTTTTATTTTTTTATTTTTATGTTTAAACAATCTAATAGACTAACAAAAACCCAAGGCAACCCCTGTATGCGCGTACTCCTCACATCCTTATACGCAAAAAGCGTACAAAGCGCACCTAAGGCACATGTCTCAAACTGTGATGCGTAAGTCTTTGGAGAGTAATGCCTAAAAATCAAAGTCTTGATGCGTTTTACCTTAACCTCGAGGCGAGCCTCAGGAAAGCCTTTTAAAACTGTTATTCTGTCTTACAATAACATGTTATTCTGTTTAACAATTATTCTATTTGACAGTAATATGTTACTCTGTCTCACAGTAACATGTTATTCTGGTTCACAGTAACATGTTATTCTGACAATATTGTGCAAGAAAGAAAAAAAAAAGAAAATATTTTACTTTGTCACTGCTCAATTATTTGCTCCGTAGGGAGTTTATGAAAAAAAATAAATTGGACTGTCCTTTACACCAAACTAGGGTCCAATGGAGGGGTTTTGATTAAATTTCTCCTTTAAGATTTCATGTAGGGCAATGCATCTATGTCATGGCTACTTCTCATAGCTTTATGTGGCTTTCCAAATCTTTCCTTTCACTTTGAAAACAAAGATGACATCCCACATTAATCATGATGGGAGCCATACCAATTAGTAACAAAATTTATCATTTTCCTTCCCTTCTTATCTACACATACATAATATATATTTTCATATTTTTCCTGAAACATAAAAATTACAATAAAAACAATTCAAGCATGAATCACAAGCATTACCATGTTGTGATACAAACTCGATGAACAGTGCCTGCAGCAATAAGGGCAACTAACTCTGCAAATATAACTGCAAAGGGAGAAAACAAAACAATAACAACGTTATCTTATTTAAATGCTTTAATCCTTTATTAAATAGCCAATGCCGTAAACTAACTAGCATGTCCCTGCCATTGAGTATATTCAAGTGGCTAGATCCCCACCAGCCACCATTGGTTGAGGAAGTGGTGGTCTTAAGAAAGCTATTCATAAAGGTAGTCTCCTTCTCGGTCAATGCACTGTGCACAATTTAATCCATTTGTCCCTCAATAAAAGTGGCATGTGCATGATTGAGTGTCTAGTCTACTATTTGTACTGAGACTTCAGAAAAAAGGGCATGAAATAAGAAGTTGAATTCGAAACTCAAGAAAACCAGTACGATATGCTAAATTTACATAAATAATAAATTCATCTTTTGGTCATTTAATAGAGAATATCAGAAAGAAAAAAGTCAGTTTGCCCTTACCAGCACCCCACCCAGTCTTGATGCCAATGGTTTCTTGATAATTCCCAATGAACTGCAAGAAATGCACTTAAGTGAGAGCAAAAAACCATACACAGCTCAATATCATTACAGATATGTGGTTGAGAAATTAAATCATATATTGTTTATAATGTAGGACTTTGGCAAGCTAAGAGACCAAGGAACATAAACAGCTGATAATGCAAAGACAAACAACGAAGTATGTAATATGAAACATCACTAAACTAACAAATTATAGTGATTAACAACTATTAGATGCATGTATTACTTACTAGCATGAAATGTATTCAAGTGCATAATAAAATCTGAGAGGCTCTTAAATAATTTCTTACGAAAGGCCAAAGAAAATGAACTAAAGAAACATTGGATCTAATCAGTACTTGGAAAGAGGCCACAGACACAGCTACTATTTACTCAACTATTTAATTGCAGCAACTGACAACAAAGGGCGGCACATAGAACTTCAATTCCCAATTCTTTCATAAAAATAATGATTATTACAGGGATTGGTTGTCATGCAAGAAGTCAAGTAAAATTTCCTTCACCACATGTAGTTGGAAATATATTACAAAGGGAATACCAATATTAAATATTAAAAATGATCAAAACATATAGCATTTGACTGAAATATCTAGCTTCCAATGAATGGGATAGATGTAAAAAAAAATAGTTTAATGCTAGACCCTATAAGGGGTGGGGGTAGGAAATGTTCAAACAGTGCAAGGCAATAAAATTATCAAAAAACGAAAATAGACAATGAAGTTAATATTATTAGAATACCAACCTTTATGTATCAATGCAATAATCAAACATAAGAATGAACAAGTGATTGAAAAGCATTTTAGAATACCACAATCAGAAGCATTTTAACTCACTGTAAGCAACATAACAAATAGGAGAGAACTGGTAAACCCTCCAAGAATAGTGAATAACTCTGTTGATGCCAACTTCCCTCTATACATTTCTTGCAGTGAGAGAATGATGATGAATAGAAGGAGAGAATATAACATGGAACTCCCCGTTCCTGCCATGGACTTCAGGTTGTACAAAAAAACAAATCATTAGATTAAATTGTTAACTACTAAGAACAACAACAATAAGAAGTAATTGTAACAATCACTATTCACAAGCTCATGGACGACTACTATCAGAATAAATTATGAAAGAAAGAATGATGCAAGTTCAGCACAACTTATTGATTAAAGAAAGGCTATAAGCTTGCTTGCATGACCCGTGGCAGTTTGAGGACCCCCCCCAAAAAAAAAGAGTTTATTTGAAGCTAAAAGTAGGGGTGAGCATGGTCCGGATTGGATCGAATTGGGGTAAAATCAAGACCAATCCGTTATCTACGGTTCTTGAAAAATTGGATCCAATCTAATCCGTTTAAATCATGGAACCAATCCGAACCAATCCATTTAAATACGGATTGGATCGGTTTAGAACCATAGATTCACATAATTAAATAACAAAAAAATATATATAACACTTTAATTTCATAAAAATATAAACATAGCGCTATATTAGTTCCACAATAGCAACATATATTTCTATAATAGTGACATACTGTTCTAGAATTTAAACAACCATAAGAAAACTAGTTTCAACATAAATATTTAGACCATTACAAATTAAAATTAAAAACTAACAAACAAAAGTAATAAAAGAAGATGTTATACGGTTTTAGGTTTGAGTTTAGATTTTATATAGAATAAGAGAAGATACTATGGGGGAGGATATATAATAAAAATATATACTATTTGTATACGGTCTGGATTGGTTCCAATCTGGAACCGTGGGGTTCAATCCGGAACCAATCCGTGTACTACGGATTTTTAAATCTTCAATCCAGAACCGAACTGCGGATTCAAAAAATCAATCCAAACCTATTGGATTAGACTGGACTGGATCGGATTACGGATTTCACAGATTCCTTACTTAGCCCTAGCTAAAAGGTTTCATTTTTTAACAAGAAAAATCTACAGCCATTGTCACCAAGCTCTCCTCTGTTGTGGTACCATGCATTGCCAGGCCCGTCTACGTCCCTTCTGTCCAACTCTGCATCGGGTAGGGACTGTTATAGTTGCGTCAAGGCAGAGTTGCCAACCTTTGGTTGGCCCCTCGTACCCCTTTCTATTTACCTGTAGACGCTGGGTTTGCAATTCATCTTAAACTACAATCATTATGTATAGTTCCTTAATACCTCAAATTTGTTCATCTCTTGTTAGGAGGTGTCAAGTGAAGTAAGCAACAACCGTCTTAGATGTACTAACAGCAAACCCAACTCATAACTGCTTGTAGCAAAACCCTACCTCCATTTGGTTGCTGACAAAACAGATCAAAAAGGGAAATAAGAACAGAATTCAACTCCCATGCTTTCTGTTCTGTTTTTTCTTGTCTCTGATCACAAAATTGAAAAGGGTCTTGCTAACAAGATCCCCCAAGACGCTTTTCACCAATTTCAAATAATCTTTTCACAATTTCTAAAACACTTTTAACACAAATTCTGATACAATACACTGCCCAGTGGCATTTGTTAGCAACAAGTGAAAAACATAAGCATCAAAGTTTCAATTTTTTCAATTTTTCACTGCATTTTAAGAGCAATCAAACGAATACTGAACAACGAAATCAGGACTTTTCCAATGCTAATTCATTAGATTTGCTCATAGATCGATGAAATCTATACGTATACTCTATATGTGTGCGCATATATATATATATAGAGAGAGAGAGAGAGAGAGAAAGAAAGGATCGGAAACATACCTCCGAACCAGTTGTTGTCACTATTCGCTGCTCCGGTGGATTTCGATCTCTTGAGAAAGAATGGGAATGGGGGTTCTATAATTCTAGGCTTCCAGTGTTTTTAGCGTGAGGACAATTTTGTTATTTTTGTTAAAGAAAAAGGACAATTATGTCAAATCGCCTTTGCAATAAAAATAAAAATAAAAATAAAAAGTGTAAATTACAGTAACCTCCCACAAAATTTGGAGAGTTTTACAAATTTTACATGATTATTACACTTAGGTCCGTGTGTGAAGTGTGATTTTTAGCTACAAAAATTTTTAAAAAAAATTATTATAAATTAGTACATAATTTTTTTTTGTTTGCATGTTTTTTTATAAAAAATTAAAAAATTAACTAGTAAAATAGTCAATTTTTAAATGGACCTTAGTCTCTTTTATGGATAATTTTATTTTCTCATATCAATTTCTCTTAATGCATACCTTTTTTTTTTTTTTTTTTCAGCAAAGAAAAATTTCATTTAACAGCATGAAATTAAAAGTACAGGAAGATGACATGCATCGAGAGAGATTCGGCAGTATAAAAATACCCCTACTACTGCTACTTACAGTCATACAACCAACCCCTAAACTTCTCGATTTTTTTTTTTTTTTTTAAAAGTTAAGAAGAACTTAACTAGAAAAATTAAAATACATGAATCTCCACATAATCAACCCACCAAAACACCGGAATCAAACTAAAATAACAAAACCAACACCCAAAGCAACCCGAACTAAAAACCCATGTAATCAACATCCACGCCTCTGCCAAGGCCCACCTGCTATTTTGAAAACTAAATCATTACACCTAAGCTGCTAACAACTCCCAACGCCACCCTTCTTCACTCCCGACGCCTGACAACACTATACGATGCCCATCACACACCTGCCGCACGCTCCGCTGCTCCACACCTGCTGCACGCTGGCCGAAAAACTCTATAGCCACCCGCTCGAAGGCTGAGAAAACTCCCTTGACTGGAGAAGATCACTCCCTTGACCAACTTCCCAACCACCCCTAAGCTGCTGCAACACCCACACACCCACTGAACCAACACACCCCTGCAGTAACACCCATGTTGAAGACTCCGAGCTACTGCAACTCCACTGCACAACACCCACAGATCTAAAGATCACAACACCCGCAAGCACACCCAACAGATCATATCCCACCAGGTTTTCTTCTTAGCTCACACCCAGTACCCACTCCAAAGTTAAGAAGAACTTAACTAGAAAAATTAAAATACATAAATCTCCACATAATCACCCACCATAACACCGGAACCAAACTAAAATAACAAAACCAACACCCAAAGCAACCCGAACTAAAAACCCATCTAATCAACATCCACGCCTCTGCCAAGGCCCACCTGCTATTTTGAAAACTAAATCATTACACCTAAGCTGCTAACAACTCCCAACGCCACCCTTCTTCACTCCCGACGCCTGACAACACTATACGATGCCCATCCCACACCTGATGCACGCTCCGCTGCTCCACACCTGCTACACGCTGGCCGGAAAACTCCATAGCCACCCGCTCGAAGGCTGAGAAAACTCCCTTGACTGGAGAAGATCACTCCCTTGACCAACTTCCCAACCACCCCTAAGCTGCTGCAACACCCACACACCTACTGAACCAACACACCCTTGCAGTAACACCCATGTTGAAGATTCCGAGCTACTGCAACTCCACTGCACAACACCCACAGATCTAAAGATCACAACACCCGCAAGCACACCCAACAGATCATATCCCACCAGAACCCACTCCAAAGCCTCTGCTGTAGTCCACTCCAAAGCCAACAGGACTTCTACCTCACAGGTTTTCTAACTCACACCGCGGATCCACACACCTACCGAACACCGACCACCCGCTGGGACACAGGTCTTCACCCCTCAAACTCTCATTCGAGGAGGAGCGCTCGAGTGAAAACCAGAAAGAACTGAATCACCTACGAACCAGAGTGCACCCCTCAAACTCCTACTCGCCAAAAGCGCTCGAATGAAATTCCTGGACTCCCCTGATAAATCAGCTATAACGGCAAAGTTGAAACACAAGAAAACATCCGATGACAACCTGGACAGCAACAAAAAACACACCTAGGTGGGAAGATGGAAGACTCAAGTTTATTGAGAGAGAAAACTAACAAGACAGCCGTTGAAACGAGCTAGGCCAGCCAGCCAGCCCAAAAAAGAAGTCGGGGAAGGAGGTTTTTCGAGAGAGAAGAGTTAGAGAGGTTTTTTAGTCAATAGCTCATATGGGATGGTATGGGACTCAAGAGGTCAATGTGAAGGTCGGCAAAGACAGCTTGTTATTCATTTATTGCAACAAATTTTCTTCTTCATTCATGTGCGTGGTGATGATGGGGCCCACTCACTCCTCTTAATGCATACCTTTAATGAACACGTTATTTGTGAGGCCCCTAAAAATTTTACTTTCTTAAAAATCCTTTACTTTTAAATTATTTTCTTGAAGTCCCTTAGTTTCTTAATTAATTACAATTTTAATTCTATGATCAAAATATATGTGCCAACTGAAAACTCGCAAACCCTAATCTATTTCAGTAACTCAGGAATCATTTTCTAATATTCTAATACTGATTAATTGACTCCCTAAATATGGAATTACCACTTGAAAACTTTAGGTTTTTCTCATTGTTATTGTGTTTGTCGATTGATCGTCTTTTTAGTCGAAACAAGAAATCCAAACCGAATTAGATTCTCTAATCTTAATTTAGTTTAATTCTACATTAAAATAAAATTTTCAATTCATAAATCAAACACTAAACCCTCACACTTTTATTAAATCACTTATTGACCTCAAACAAGTACTAATATATATATATAAACTTGTACCTTAAAACTTATTTTATACACTATACTTTACAATTTCCAACATTTGTACACAAGAAAAATAAATTAATTAATTCCCTCAAATCAACGTCAAGTGGCTAGCCACCCTAGATGAACCCTTTGTTGTGTACTTTTTGGGACAAGAATGCTTGATTTTATGAAGAATTTTGACTAAATCCCTAATCATGGAGATATGTTTGTACTAGTTTTCAATCTAGTTCTATCTTGACCAAACTAGGACTAAATCATGTTCCAAGTTATAATTAATCTTCTTAATCAATCTCATTCTATTCTAACCAATTACAAATTCTTCCATCCAATTTCAACCAAGGACTTTTTAGACTTTCCACCATTATTTTTTTTCCTATAAATAGGACCTCTTCCCTAGCATTTTTGCACATCTGACACACTCACACACTACACATTTCAACTGAGGGAGAGAAAAAGAGAAGAAAAGAGCTTTAGTGGTAGAGGAAAGGAAAAAGAGAAAAATTGTGCAAACACTTTACTAGACAATCGAGTAAGCCACAACACAACTCTATCTTATTTTTCCTTTCAAATACATACTCTTAGAAGTTTTAAACATTCATTTCAGATGTGTTTTGATAGCATTCTTGTGTTAAAAATGAAAGGAGTTGAGCCCCTGATTTTACCATTCTTGTATTTCTCTTAATCGGTATAAGGCTACCTTTTTCCATATCAATCTTTCAAAATTTCCAAAGGCACACCTTCATCTCAAATTTCTAAGTTTAATACATATTATTTATCATGTTTTCATCACAGTAGAAGTCGAAAATTTCTCATAGTTGATCTCTTTTCTCACAAACTTTCTTATTTCAAGAATTGTGCTAGAGAAATCTGTTTTACAGCCAATTTCCAAAAATTTTAGAAAAATGTAGAAAAATCTTCTGAACCTAAATGTTAAGTCAAAATCTTCCGGAGTTAATTTTCAAGGAAAATTGGTTTCATTGAAAAAGAGTAAGCGATTTGTGAGAAAATCCAATTTTCGTAACGATCGACGAATCTGGACAAAATTAGAGTATTTCTGAAAACCAGATAAAATTATCTACGAACCATAGGAAGGCCGAATTTTGGAAAAATTTGACATAGCTTTTTTAATCTTGATCTTTAAGTGACTCTGAATCTAAAAATTTTATTTACATTGATATTTTATGCTGTTGACTTTATGAATATGCTTATTAGTATATGAAAATGTCTTGGTATGATATTGCATGTATTATGGTTATGTTCCTTATCTTCTTCATTTGACGGTGCTTATGCTTATGTGGATATTACTATTTTGTTAAGTTGTTCTAACATTAATTTAAAACTTTTAACTTAACGAAAAACTTAATTGGGTTGGTATTGGGTTTTCGATCACTTGAATAATGAAGAGATAATAATGTGTTATGTATGAATTGATGGGATGTGTTCCCTAATTAAAGGAAAGTCTTGCGCAAGCGATTGTATCGGAACCCTTGAATGGATTAGTTTTTGTAACAACCCACATTTTATGGCTTAGTCATGTTCATGTGCATTCACATCATGTGGTCTTGTTAAGGTTGCATTCATGAATCTTGCCTTGTTTTGTGCTTATGTGATTTGTCTAAGTGTTGTGTGCCTGCTTTGTTCCTTCCTTGGTGTCTCAAGCCTAAGTTATGTTAAGCCTAGATCATTCCAAGCCGAGGTCATCTTCAGTCTAGAATTATCTTGGAACCACTTTGTTTGACCTCCACCTTCGCCCTGACATATTGGCCGAGATGTCATTATCTAGGCCGAGGTGTTCATCACCAAGGCCGAGATGTGTATTATCTAGGCCGAGATGTTACCTTTGCACCTAAGTGATCTTGTCCTGGAGTGGTATGACCTAGACCGAGGTGTGGCACATCTAGGCCAAGGTGTGGCACAGCTTAGTCAAGTGTTGTCCTTCCTAGCCGAGGTCATTGTCACCTTAGTAGCCGAAACTTTGTCCTTAGCCGGTGTCATCACTTGCTAGAGTGCCTTGCCAGGTAGCTTGTTAGATACGCTTTGTCTTACACATGTTTTGTCAATCTATCACCTTTTTGAGGAGAACCAACCAGCCGTTGCCACGTGTCCGAGCTGAGTGTTAAATCAGCCGATAGAGAGAGGAACTTATCATTTGTTATATCCTTGTTTTGAAGAGGAGAGAGAAGCTCTAGGAGAGGAAGATGAGTTCTTGAGAGAGAGTGGATTTCCAAGCTTGATCCCTAGAGATCGAACTGTTAGATCCGTGTTCTAAGATTAGATTCTTGATCTGCTCGTGTTGTTCTTTATGTTCATGTTATTGCATTGCATGATTGAATATGATTTGTAAGCCATGCATTGCTTTGAAGTTCAGTTTTAGAAAGAGAAAATAGTATTCATGTGTTCTTCAAGAAAAGTCATGTTTTGATCCAAAAGTTTGTATCAAGACGCATGTTTTTGTGTTTGTTTCCATATGATCTTCAAGCATGGGTACCCAGGTCCATGTTTTCGAACTCATAGCATGAAATCCCAGATTTTATAATAAAGAAGTTATGATTTTAGCATGCATGTTCTTCATGTTCTTCACGGGTGGAAACCAGATCTCCAGACCTCATTTCCCTAAGTGTAGTCGCTGAGATCACTCTTATCTAGACCTCACACTTAGGCCAAGTATCGTATCTCACCTTGGCCTACCTTGCATGATCATTTACACCTTTAGTTTGTCTTGTGCGCACCTCGGCATGCAGCCGCACGCCGAAGTCTAGGTAACCACACCTCGGTCAGGAGGTGTGGGACCTCGGCAAAGACCTAGTTGGTACCCAACATGTCTTCCTGACATGTAAAATAGTGTTTTGACTTCCAGCATGTTTTCCCCGAGATCATTTGCATGCATGTAAGACTTGTTTTGAGAAGTACGTTTAGTAGACTTTTCCATGTGTTTGTAGGACTTGGACCTTTGCCTTGATCCCGACATCCGAAGAGCTATATGAGTGGTATTTTTAATAAAGTTATGTTATAAAGATTTGATAAAGCCTTGTTTCATTTTGAGAAAAGCATTTGATCAAGCATGAATGATTACTCTTATTTTTATGTATCAAGTAAGCTTTGTTTTGATGACATTCTCGGAAAGTCCCTTGTGCTGGAGGACTCTAAACTTTCGCAGTACTAAAGTCCCTTGTGCTAGAGGACTCTAAACTTTCGCAGTACTAAGTATGAGAGATCTCTGCCATCAACGGTCTATGAACGAATGGCCCCACCGATGACCTTGTGCGGGTGGTTTGTCTAATCGATTCCGGGTCGATTATTCCCTTGTTTTACCACTGACGGTTTACCACGTGGGTTTTGTAAGTCCGGAATGTCATCCCTTGTATTATGTAGATGTTATTAACATCCAAAGTAAGTAAGTAAGTTTTGTAAGATCAAGATTGATGAACTAGATTCATCTCATGTTTTGTACAAGCTATGATATGTATGTTTTGCAAAGATCTCGGTTATCATTCATTTAAAACCTTTATTACTTGTACCATTCACTGAGTATCCAAGCTCACCCTCCCTATGTATATATGTAGGTAACAAGCAAGAAGTCGGCTACGCCGAGATGTGTGTTTTGTATGTATGTTATGTCGGTAGTGAGGATGTCGGCAACCTGGAAGATTATGTTTCTTGACTTGTAGTTCATGTGTTTTGTACATGTCGGCTTGAGAGGCCTTTGATCAATATGTAACATGTATTTTGCTTATGTTATATTCAAGATGTAAGACCATGTTAAAGATGTATGTCATTTCATTTGATCTATGCACTACTCTTATGAACCACTTGTATTGTAAATTATTGCTTCCGCACATGTTAGCCCCTTATGTAATACTCTGATTGTGTGTGAATTTTGAAAGTTGGCCTTCGGTAATCTCGGATTACTGGCCATCACGGCACCATCCTACTAGGGGCGGTTTGGGGTCGTGACAGTTGTATTCGGACCCTAGGTGCTTATGATGGATAAGGTTGGAGGAGGTTATGGGCAAGGCCCTTATTTTACCGTTTCTTTTGAGGTTCTCGGTTGGCGCTACACGGTATATAACCGTTGGTAGGCATCCAGGGTAAGGTCTGCAAAGTAGCAAAAGAGGGGGCATACTGAATAATCCGAATCCAATTCTTATGGTTAGGAGGATAAAATCTCTTAGGGGAATTTCTAGAATACTAACTACTAACATTGTAGCCTTTGTTATCTATTTGAATGTCATGTTCCTTTCCTCTATTATTGACTTGAATATCATGCTTCACTACTTGGTTGTTATAAATACTTTGGTGTATTGAATTGAGAAAAAGGGACGGAGTGTGTGTGCATTTACTGAGCATTCAAAACTCACGGCGTTTCATGCTAGGTATTAAGGACTATTAGACTGGTCGAAGGCAAAACGGAAGTATTTGAAGACATATGGCTATCCTATGAGAGTTGGGAATTAGTTTTGCAAACACGATTATGCGATTGTAAGTGATTAATCGCTTGCTGTATTTGAAGACATGATTTTGTATTTTTATATATAATATTTGTAACCTATCCTTATACTCCGTCAACTTATGTAGGTTTTGTGTTAATACCTTGTCAAGATCTATAAAAAATGTAACTTTGTTATCTAAGGTGGTTGGACTTAGAAATGAGGCTATTTTGACTCCTCCGACCTTCTTGTGATTTTGCTTGGTTATTAGCCAAATGATTCATTAGTGGCGTTTCCCACTCTTGTAACCTTAGATAAACCCCATATTTAATTGTTAATATATTATCTGATGTTCCCAATTTTTGAGGCGTCACATTATTAGTACACACAAAAAAAATAAAAATTCTCAATACACATTTCTTTACTCTAATAATATCCCTATCTTCAATTTCAAAACCCTACGTTTTTTTTGTTTTTTTTTCCATTCACTTACCATTTCTTCGCAACTGTTGCTACCACTCTTACCCTCCATCACAACCACTGCTGCCACTTTCAACTCATCGACTTTCATCATAAACCTCCATAATCAACCTTAAAAGTAGGCAATTGTAACGGAAGGCTTGTGACAGTGTATGATTCATGACAGAAAGTGATTGCAGACGAAGGAAGAAATAGGCGATGTGAGGGGATGATGGAGGAAAGAGGTGGCTTTAGCGATGGAGGATGGTTGTGGTGTTTTAGAAATAAGATTTGAGTGAAAAAAGATAAAGGTATTATGTAATTTTTATTCTAAGGCAAATTGTATTTAAAAAAAATAAATTCATTAAATGTGTGAATTGAAAGAAATTGATGTGTGAAAATAGAATTATTCCTCTTTTATCAATAATTCATTAGCTTTATAAATAATAAAATAATAATCTGTATATTTTTTACACTAAAAAAACAATTGAGATTGCTGGAGTATTTTTTATCCTTTAACATATAAAATGATTGCAAAATAATAAATAAAATAAAATAATTTGATAGTCACAAACAAAATCGAAAATGGTCAACAATCAATTAAAATAAAAGAATAAAAGGGTGTATGTATAAAATTTAAAAGTGAATGTAAAAAACTTTGGAGGAACTTCCTACAATTTTGTTAAATTTCATTGAAGTCATTGTAATTTTCGAAATTAAAAATTAAAAAATAAAAATAAAAATAAAAATTGACACAGCAATATATACAGAGAGAGACCTTGCTGATTTTAGAGCATCTCCAACGGTAGTAGGTATTTTACCTATCCAAATATTACTATAAAGTATATATTTTATTTTGCCTATCAATTGTTTTATGTTTTTACTCCAACCTTGCTCTTTATTTTAGCTATTTATCAAAATACTATTAATTTTATAGAATGCCAAGTCAACAACAAAGATGGAGAGAAATGATCCTAATAATTGAATACATTTTGCCTAGCGTTGAAGGCTAGCTACATGTAACTAGTGAATATGAGTTGAGCTAAAAAAAGTAAATCATACTAGGCATTTTAACTAATAAGTATTATATGTCTATTGGAGATGCTCTTACTGTATAGTTTCAGCTTGGACTGGGCCCTAGTCTGGTTTGTCATCTACGCCAGCCATTACAAAAAGTCAACACCAAACAGAAGTAGACGCCGGACATGGAGCTGCCGGAGCCGCCGGAGTGCCCGGTGTGTCTTCAACCCTACGACGGCGATTCCACAACCCCTCGCGTCCTCGCCTGCGGTCACTCCGCTTGCCAGACCTGCCTCAAACTCCTCCCCCAACCCTTCCCTCACACCATTCGCTGCCCTGCTTGTACCCAACTCGTCAAGTACCCTCATCCCCAAGGCCCCTCCGCTCTCCCCAAGAACATCGATCTCCTCCGCCTCGCCTCTCTTCTCCAATGCCCAGATCATCAAAATCCCCAAAACCCCCCAAAACCAATCGAAAAACAGTCAATTCCGATCCATTTTATACCCAATTTGTGGTCTCATGAGTTTTATCTGGCATGGAAGGACTGGGTTGTTCCCGAGGACGCTTTAGTGGTTGAATTTAGTGCTGAAGATGGTTTGTGTTCTGTGTTTTGTGGAAGAATTGTGGGTTCTTCTTTGGATTCTTGGGGATTGTCTGTAAGGTGTTCGATGAAAGGGAATGAAAAGGTGAGTCTTGTTAGAGTTGGTGGTTCTTTATGTGAGAATGATTCTAAGTTTAATTACAGTTATGTTGCTAAAGTTTTGTGGGTTTTGTATGGGATGACGGATAGGCTGAATTGGGTTTGATTTTGAAGGCGTCTTGTTCGAAACAGAGTCAAATTTGTAAGGTATATGGGCTGTGGTGTAATCCGGATGATCAGGGTGTGTACATAGTGTGTGAGAGGTATGCGGGGAGTTTTTTGGAGAAGTTTGGTGATTGGAGAAATGGGTTTGTTGGTGAAAATGAAAGTAATGGTTTGTTAGATACCACAAATTTTGCAATGATTGGTATGGAGATATGTGAATCAGTGAGTGCTCTACATTCAGAAGGATTGTTTAGTGGTTGTTTGGCTGTAAGGAGCTTTAATTTTGATGATTTTGGCCATGTTCATATTGACTTGAATGAAGCCTTGGTGATGAGTAGTAGAGTTTGGAAGATGATTACCAAGGCTATTCTGGGTGCAAAGAAAAGGAAAGAATTGGAAGTAAGCTTAAGAAACGATGCGTCAGAAACCCTTGAATTTGTTAGTCCAGAGCTATTGTTTGAGTTACTGCAGAAGAATGCAATTGACATAGAATGTGGGTCAAAATTTGAGGTTGGCTATGGCTCAGATGTCTGGTCCTTAGCTTGTGTATTGCTTTGGCTTCTTATTGGAGAACCATTTACTGAACTGATGGGCAATTATTTGCACTGTTTCGTACCAATACCAAGTGATGGAAAGGGTTCTGATTATGCAGGATTGTATATGAATTGGATGGAGAAAGTTAGGACTTCATTAGAAACTAAATTGGTTTCAGAGTTTGTACCATTGCAGGAGATCCTATGTGGATGTTTGGAATTTGATCCAGGGAGTCGACCAGATGTGATTGATGTGTGGAAATGCATCAGGGAATTGATTATTAAACCAAAATTCGATATCATGGTCAGTTTAGCTCGGGCGATTGAAAAGAACACTGGGCATTGCTTGTTTCTTGGAGAACTGAGTCAGTTACGAAAGGAAACTAACAAAATATTGGAAAAGCAGTTGGTAAATGACTTGCAGGAGAAAGATGATAGTAATAGAGGAGATGTTGATCAAGTTGGGGAAGTAATGGTTGACAAAGATCTTGTTGAAGGCCTCTCCGGGGGTCATGTCAAATGTATTGATCTGAAGGGCCATCTGGATTGTATTTCAGGATTAACCGTTGGAGGTATGGATTTGACTTGGTGCTTTTAGACTTTATTTATGGTGCCATGAAACCATCTTAATTAAATCCCTTTTCATTTCTCTTGTAGGTGGTTTCCTTTTTAGTTCCTCCTTTGATAAAACGGTCCATGTATGGTCTCTGCAGGTACATGCCTTACAGTGAACATTTGTTGAAATTTGTCCGTTAATCCAACTAGCATCAAATTATTGCTTAATGGTTTTATATTCTTTGTGGCACACCCTTTTGTAAATAATGTACAACCATTTCAAGCTTTGTTAAAAAGTTCCCTTTTGGCACTCCACTTGTTAACAAAATCTATGCTAAAAACATGAGTGTAGCACCCAGAAAAATTTTCTTGCAAACTTCTGTTACAAAACATTTTGACAAAGTATTAAAAAAATCTAACTAAAATAAAATCCTACTAAAAAAGTAAACCCAGTTTACTCCCCATTTAATGGGGCTCTAGGAGGGGTAGATTGGGTGCAGGCTGTCCTAAGGTTCAACCCACAATCTCAAGGTTAGTAGTCCAAGTTTTAACAATTGAAACTAATATATTGGAAGTAAAAAAGTTCAATTATAAATTTGAAAAACCTTTTAAGTTTCAAATTTTGATTACTTGTAGCATGGGTCAAGTTTTGCAAATCACTATTAATTAAATCATAAATATGATAGAATGAATGACTCATTTTCATTTTGCAGTCTTGTAGTTTCCTATTTAAATATCCCTTTATACTGAGATTCATTAGTGGATCTACCCATTGCAGGATTTTACTCACTTGCATACATTTAGGGGTCATGAGCATAAAATTACTGCTATAGTTTTCACAGATGAAGAACAACCATTGTGCATAAGTGGTGATAGTGGAGGTGGCATTTACATCTGGGGTATTACTGATCCATTTGGTCAAGAACCAATAAAGAAACTGTTTGAGCAAAAAGATTGGCGCTATACTGGTATTCATGCCCTTGCCATTTCTGGAACTGGATACCTATATACTGGCAGTGGAGATAAGTCAATAAAGGCATGGTCCTTGCAGGTAATGGGATTATACTCATTTTGTGACCACTCTGGTTACACAGTAATTTTATTGCTTTGGAATCTGAAAATTGAGGTTTCGTTTAATTTGTATTCAGGATTACTCTCTGTCATGTACTATGAATGGGCATAAGTCAGTTGTCTCTACTCTAGCAGTTTGTAACGGGGTTCTTTATAGTGGAAGTTGGGATGGAACTGTCCGGTTATGGTGTCTTAGTGATCACAGTCCTTTGACAGTACTCGGGGAAGATACACCTGGAAATGTGACCTCTGTTTTGTCTCTTGCTGCTTACGGGGATGCTCTTGTTGTGGCTCATGAGAATGGGTGTATGAAGGTTATGTATTTTTTAAACCCTACTTAACTTGGTTATATTTGGTCATATTTCTATAGGCACTGGTTGGAAGTTGGAACTGCTAGGGGAATATAATGACACAACATCAGTCACATCACTTAATATCCCTCAACTCAAGTTATTCATGATGCATAGTCACCAAAAGTAACCAATAAAGTAGCTATGATACCATGCAAGAACTATAAGTCTCAAAATGTGTGAATTGGCTTGTAAAATAACTTGGAATTTTTTTATCCTTTTGTTTGGACTAAAACTCTGACAAATTTTTTTAATGAAGGCCATCACTGGATTGACATCATACCAGTGCACTACAAAATGATAAAGAGTTACTAATTAAATTTAGTACTAAGCAATCATTTTCTTTCCTCTTTGTTCTTTCAGATTTGGAGAAATGATGTGCTTCTGAAATCCAAGCAAGCTCACAATGGTGCCATTTTTTCTGTTGGAATGGAGGGGAAGTGGCTTTTTACAGGGGGTTGGGACAAGGTTGTTAATGTGCAGGTAAAATTTGTAGTATATTGCATAGATTCTATGTCAATCACCCTTCTAAGTCCTGAGCTCTTTTTTTTAATTGATTGCATTGTTGATGCTAACCTAGATAATAATTTATGCTATGAAACGTTGGAACTTCCAAGAAATTTTTTTATTGAATTTGATACTTCTCTTTCTTTTTTTTGATGAATAAATGTGATGCTCTTCTCAAAGTAATATTTTGTTGGCATAATATAATCTCCTGAGCTCTTTTTTTTAATTGATTGCATTGTTGATGCTAACCTAGATAATAATTTATGCTATGAAACGTTGGAACTTCCAAGAAATTTTTTTATTGAATTTGATACTTCTCTTTCTTTTTTTTGATGAATAAATGTGATGCTCTTCTCAAAGTAATATTTATATTTTTTTTGTTCAATGTTTTCTCTAATTTAGATAATTTGGAATTTGGATCATCTGCATTTTGTTGAAGGCTCGTGAGGTTGTCTACTGATTTTCAGGAACTATTAGGGGATGAGTTTGGAATTGATGCCACGAGCCTTGGATCTATTGCCTGCGATTCTGTTATAACGTCTCTCTTGTACTGGCAAGGAAAGCTTTTTGTTGGACGAGCTGATAGAGTAATTAAGGTATACCAGATCTTTTCACTTTGATTTTGATTTTTAGTTTTGTTTTCCTGGGAGATTTCTCTAAGCTTTCCTTGACAAATATTGATACAAATGCTATGATTTTAGTGACTAAAAGATTAAAAAAAACAATAACTTTGTGTCCCTGTGAAACACCGCATCCTTTAAAGCAGGCATTAATTTTGTCTAAAATATTCATGCGGGGCATAGCGAAATCAAAATTCATCAAAAGTTTGATATGGATGTTCTAGATAGTACAAGACCAAATCAGTGAGGCTTCACTTTTGTCTCTGTATACCTGTCATTTAGCTTCAGGTTTGGTAGCCGAAGTCTTGCAATATATTTGCTTAACAGGCTCTCTTACAAGTTAGTTTCATGTTATCTTGTGAAATTCTCTAATTTGGGTGTCTAGTCTAAAGGATATGAATTTATTTAATTTAATTGAGCATCTAGCCGTTGATAGAGCAAAATGATGAAAAATGGTTCATGTAGTCGACCCTACTTTAGTGGGACACAAGACTTTTAGTTTGCTAAGTCTAAACGATCTTCTTGCTAAAGAACAGTAGTAGTAGGATTGTTAATGGAGGGTCGGTATTACTTTCCTGAATAACTGGTGCCTTGTTGGATGGCAACAATTTCATGGACACCAATTTTTCTTGAAAAGTTCTATTTCATGATCTTGTCCCCTAAATTGTTTCCAAAAATTTGCTCCACTTTATTCCTTAGAATTTGTTTTGATTGTCCTGCATATATATTTTTTTTTGGTTGCATCGGAAAGAAATTGTCCTTCATATTCAAAATGGCTAATTTATTTGCTAGGGGGATGCAAAATAAGTTGTTTGTACAATGGAATTTTCAGTCTAGTATGCATGAGTTGGTGGTAGACAAACCAACATACAAGCTTAACAATTGGATAAATGCTGATTCAGTGTTTCTGTTTGAGCTCACCAGGTATACTTTTATGGATTGTAATGGAAGTCTCACTTGAAGGATCATGTGGACGAATACAACATATGAAGATGCATGCTGGTGGCCACGGGCACGATGAGCAGGACAAGTGAACACAACTATTGTTTTGGTAATGTGGATAATTTGTATAGATTAGAAGTTGTTTATTTGCATACCATATTAAGTCACTATTCAAGAAAAGAAATATAGTAAGATAAATGATATGTGTAGAGTATAGCTTGCAAAGAAACTGGATCACACGGTATTTGGTTTGTCTGAAAGATGATAGGTAATTTGTATACGAGATTTTTGATTGAAAATATATGTTGTCCTTTTCTTCTCTTTTCTTATCGTTAGCTCATGAGTTTGATTGTTCTTCCTTTACTGTAAGTTGCCTTAATGAGCACCCGTTATATTCATCATGTTGTTTGGGAGATTAGTTTTTCTTTCCTTTTTTTTCCCTAGGAGAAGTATGTATAGAAATGCTTTTTGACTACTTTGTTTAGCTGCATTCATTGTGTGCTACATTGAGAACTCTTGCCAACTTTCTTGACTTTCATGGCCATTCGATCTATATATAGTGATTTTAAACACGATTTTCCCTGAATTGAGAACTCATGTGTTTGTTCCATTTACTCGTATGATTGTGAAAGTTCAAGATTTAACTTAGAATGATTGCAACAGAAGTCTGCAAGTCAACAGACTCAAATCATACAATAATCAAACATGTCGATGCTATGGAAACAGGGGAGATAGAAAACAAACCCTAGTATCACAAATTCTAAGAGTTTCCATTCTGCATGTCAATGTTTCTTACAGGACCCTTGAACCACTTCCTTGCATCCAAAACCCACCAAAGCATTATAAGCATCAAAGCAACACCAAGAGCTATTGGTGCATAGTTGAAGGTGCTCCATGTAATAGGATAGAGAGTTGGCAACAAGAATGCTGAACATGTATAGCATATCCACAAGAATGCTACCAAACAAACAGGCCTTCTTGCTCTTCCCAAGTAGAACGGGCCGGGCTTGAAATTCTCCTCTGCCATCACCATCCTTGCGAAAATTGGGACAGCGTAGCTACCGACCCATCCTATTGTGGCTATGGAGATGATAGCATTGAAGATCACGTTGATTTTTAAGATGGGAAGGCCGAGGATGGCGGAGATGACCGCACAGAGCCACACTGCATTTGTTGGAACCTTATGCTTGGGGTGAATTCTTCGCCATATTGGGGAAAATGGGATTCCATTATCCCTGGATAATGCATAAACCTGAAAGGAAAAGAGAGACAGTTTGTTGCTTGTAACCAAACATAGTACAAGAGAGTGGAATAGGAAGAAACTATAGGTACATATTGTGTTCCAAATAATTGATAAACTAAATTTTTATGAGAAAGGAAATCACCAAGTAGGAGAGTGATTGAAAAAGGCGCTAACTGGCTCTTGAACTTGTCTATTGCTATGCTTGGGTTATAGATTTAAGTAAAGATTTAAAAAGAGGAAGGAAGGTGTGTAAAATGTAACTATATTTTATTCACATTTTATTCACTTTTTTCATTTATCTTTCTAAATTACTATCCAAATTCATGATTCAAACACAGTATATATGTTGGTTCTTGGACCTCTCTATTGCTGTATTTGGATTATAGATTTGGGTAATAATTTAGAAAGGGAAAGGAAAAGAAAAAATATTGGTAAAATGTAAATATATTTTATTCATATTTTACTTTTTTTTTTTTTCAAATTCTTATTCAAATTCATGATCCAAACCCAGCTTAGCTTACTGAAAGTATGTGTGTCTATGTAAAGTGAGAGTAGGGAAATTCTTGCATGCTATTGGAGAGAGAGAGAGCGAGAGAGAGAGAGAGAGAGGGAGAGAGACTTACAACCCTAGCAGCACTGGTGGTGACAGAAAGGCCACAAAAGAAGTAGGAACCCCAGATGATGCAGAGGAAAACAACAGCTCCTGTGGAATTGTGATACCTCCCATGGAATGCATCATAGAAAATTTGTGCCGGTACAAGTGCCCCTGCGGTCTCGTTGTTCACATCATACAAGTAGTTTGGGTCCTACCATCGAACAAATTAATCACATGCTTGTGACACATCCCTGTTTGGTTCTAGTTTCATTTTTTTTTGTTTTATGTTTTTATTGACTGAAAAATACAAAAAAATTGTTGCGCAAACGTTTGTTAAAACAACCAATTTTGTGGGAAACATTAAAAGTTGTGTTCAAAAGTAAAATACACTTATGACCCTTAAAGTATGGGTTTTGTGTTACATAGATTCTCTAAATTTTACTTTGGTCAATTTACCATCAAAGTTCTCAATTTATATTAAATTTGTCCAATTTTAGATGTCAGTCTAAAACATTAATGGAAAAACAATAAAATGTGTTATTTTGATTTTTGAAGTGTCAATTTTGTCAATAACATTGCAATTGATCTGATTTGCAGATAAAATTAAAAACTTTCAAGATCAAAGTGACACGATCGAAGTGTATAATTTAGGAGCCACTGATGTATTTTATTCTCATTTTGTTAATACTTTAAACAAGCCGTTTGAAATTAGATTAATTTGACTCAAATTACAAAAAATTTAGAGACAAAACTGAAATTTATAGGATCAAACCGACACAGAATGCATTCTTTAAGTATATTTTATTCTTTTTAAAAATTACTTTTTCATAAAAATGAAAATGATATAAAATGATGTGTATTTTCAAAATTTTCATTGCTTTGTTTTTAAGACACAAAAAACTAAAACAAAGAAAACAAAATCAAATCAAACAGGCCAGATGGGGATTACCTTGATGCTGAAAGTAAGAGACAAGTAATATGCCCAACCAAACACACTGATGATGCCAATGCTAGAGAGAATAGCAAGAGGTCCAGTTCTATCAGCTCCTTTGGTTTCTTCAGTCAAATGAGCAGCAGTGTCATACCCATATAGACAGTAATTGCTTAAGAGTACAGACATAATCACTGCATAAGGAATGCTTGAAATGCCAGTGTCTTGAGGTGCCATTTCAAAATGTGTGAACACATAGGAAGCTGGTTGTATTGGATGTGCCACAAATGGAAGTGTTATTATCACAACCAAACCACCAATGATCTGCCAACATGTTAACTTGTCTCAGATGATTAACTGACAAAGCCATATATAATCATATTGTCAATATTGATATGTACATCGTGATATCGTTAATTAAAATCATACTAGGCATGATCATAAGAGTCCCTATCTATTGTGGAGTCAGACAGCGAGGTAGAATTGCACTGTGGAGATCCGCAGACACTCCATCAAGACAAACTTGAGCCATAGCCTAATCCTAGCCTTACTAAAGGTGTAGTGTGGCAAAGAGCCGGTAGCCCACAATTAATGGACAAGAGTCTTGCCCTCGAGCTTCACTCCCCAAAACTACCCATATCCTTTTCATCAACAAATCACATGTGATAGCAGTAGAGCTCAGCAATACCATAGGCCTCGTTTGGAAAGTGGCTATTTTAGAAGCTTTTTGACTATTTTAGTAGGTTATTTTAGTTTGTGTTTGGGAAGATGAGATGGATTTTTATTTGAGTTGTAGTATTGAAAAATGTGTTGAAATGATGTTTGAAGTTAAAATGACAAATTTGTCCTTAAGATTACAATTTTTTAAATTGATATAAAAGGACAAAATCGTAATTTACCAGTTGATGTAACAATTTGTCAATTGACAGTGTAGGCTGTGCCTACATTGCAGGCAGCTGCAGCGCCTATTTTTTTTTTTTGAAAAATTTTGAACAGTGAGACTTTTTGGCTTATTTGTAATTTGAGGTTATAATAGCCTCAACCCTTTCTTCCCAAACAGCGCCTATGTAAAAAAAAAAAAAAACAACATATATTTAGTATATGAAGCATTGATGTGAGTACCTGCCACCAAATGGAGAGAATGTGGAGGTAGGCAACAACACTCAAAGCAAAGGAGTTGAGGACAGCCCAGATGAAGATTAACAACAAATACATTCCCAAAAACACACTCTTTGGTGCAAAGTATCCTCCTCCCTTGTTTGTTCCTGTCCCCAATAGTATTATCATCTGCAACGCCTGTGCTCCTGAATATGCCTATTTATATATAAAAACCAAACATGTATATAAAATGTTCTCATTAAGCAAACTGTTCTGCTTGGAACACAAAAGTCAAATATAGAATGGAACACATAATACATATGAATGGTTAAAATTTGTTAGTGGACCTGCTTTTTAAAAATCTTATCAATCTATACATTTTGATTCTGTGAAGGAGGATGAAGCACCCACCTGAGCACCCATTCCAGCAACGAGGCCGATGGTCTCGAGCCAAGCACAGCACCATGATGCAAATGGTCCCCATCTTGGTCCAGCCAAATAAGCTGTCCAAAAGTAGAGCGAACCTGTTGTCTGCATTCATCATGTTTCAATTTCCAAAATCACATTCATTTGGTAATCAGGAAGTATAGAAATACACGGATAAAATACATAATTAGACATAAAAAACACATAGATGAGTAATGATATACAAGGACCACAAAAAATTCATACAAAATAATATGATAGATATATGTCTTTAAAATTAGAAGGTCCATTAAAGTGACTTATAATTTTCAAAATGCCACTGTCACGTCATTCTTGTGGAATTTTTTGTCTAGAATTTTTGTTCGCAAATCATTTATCATATTTTAATTTTGTAACATTTTTTTTTTTTAAGGTTCAAAAACATTCTAGCTCCAGTTAATCAATTTAGACGGTGTGAGTAATGGGATCATTTAAACTTACATTTTGTAATTCAGAGATTAAATTGACAAAATTTAAAAAATTAAAGAATAAAATACAACAACGCTCATATTTTAAACCATTAGTTTAATTAGTCCTTTTTAATGAGAAACCATCTTAATGAAATATTCTGGGGATAATTTCATTTCAGTGCACTTTTAAAAAAATATTTAAAAAGGTAAAATTATGAACTTTTTTATGATTTTGTAATTAACTTTTGCGAAAACATCTGACTTGTAAAATCCCCTAAACGATTTTCAGTCGTGCAAAAACCAGGTTCATAACAAAAACAAAAACACTTAAAAACATTGTCTCTTCCTTTTCAAACATTCCATCTTTTTTCATTTTGAAAACATGTAAAAGAGAAACAGAATATGTAAATGACAGCAATCTACATGATACCAAATGTCCCTCAAAGAACTTTTAAAATTGAGGCTGCCAGATGTTAGTAGAGCATCATAAGGAAATTGATGTACAAAAAAATTGTTATAAAGAATTTATCACAAGAAAAACATGACAATAATATTTTTAAAGATAAAAGCTGTTTTTGATTCAATTTTGATTTTAAAATGAGAAGATATAAAGCTGTCATATCATTTTAGATAAATTTTTTGTATAAATTTTCTATTTGTATTACAATAGGTCAGGGATTGATGGGACTTAAGGCTTGATTTGGTTTGGTTTATTACAATAGGTCAGGGAACACAAAAGCCAAACACAAAATCGGAAATAAATGGATTGATAAGATTTTTGATAAGTAGCTCCACAAATAAATCTTGTAAAATCTTGTTTATTCATGATTTTTTTTTTTGTGTTTGATTTTATGATTAGTTTATGTGTTCCTAACATAGTTAATAGGAAGAGAAAAGCAACATACAGGGAAGGAAGAGCATAATTCAGCCATGACAACTCCAACAAACCAGGTGAAGAATGTGACCACAATCCATCCCCATATTAAGGTTGCTGGACCTGCATATAGCAGACTTTGTCCATACAGTGGTGTTCCAACAAAAAGTGCCATGCTTGAGAATGTAATTGCAAGTGTTTTGAAAAATGTCTGCAACAAACCAACCAAACAAAGATTTCATTATCAAACATTTCTAGCTTGGATTACTAAAAAACCCAGATAAAAAATAGTTTTAAGATATTGTAAAATTTGCTACAGGTTTCCAAAGTAGATCTAAGAAGAAGAACAAAGTCAACACAAACATGGACACAGACAAAGACATAAAATTAAATGAAAAAATAGAGTTGACCATCTCTCTTCTGAATTCTTGCTTGTATCCGAGCTCATTGAGACGCTTCTCTCCAGAATCCATTTCCAGAACTTGCCAATTGACAATTGATTGTTCTTCTTCTCTTGAACCCAACACTATGAACTAAATAACTGATTAATATGCCAAGGAGAGGGAGATGAGAATTGTGATATTGTATATCATCATTCCAAGACCTGTGGATTATTATGATGTGATGAGCACGGGTGGGTTTGAATAGTAGTCAGTCACAGTTCCGTTTTAACGTAATTTATTTTTTTTGGTTGTTGTTTGGTTGAATAAAAGAGAAAATATTTTTGCATTATTTTTTTAAAAATGGCTTATTTTTAAAAAATTCGTAAATCAATTTTTATAAAGTTGACCTCCACTTATACTTTTTCAATATATTTAATATTTTTAAATAAATATCTTAACTTACTAAAAAGTCATAAATGATATTTTATTAAATCAAAAATTTTTTTTAGACAATAAAATGTTTTTGTTTCAAATTTCAACTAAATGTCAAAAAACAAAAACAATATTTTTTTTTTTTTGATGTAAAATTAGTTTACAAGAAAAATATTTTTTATATAAAATATTTTATGTCAAAACAAACTAACGCTAAGTTAAAAACATATTCTGGAAGATGAAATCCAAGTTTTCACAAAGAGACATTAGCGACCTAAAGGTGGAATGTGAAAGGAGTTTTTTTTATTTATTCATTATTTTTTATTTTTACTAATTAAAATGCAGAGTTGTTTTGAAATAGAATTCTTTAATTCAAGCAGGGTGATTTACCCTAAAAGTCCCTATATTTGAGACTTGTCTCACTTTAATTCTTGAGTTTTTAATTGTGACATATTTAACCATAAATTTTGAATCTTGTTTCAAATAAAGACAATTCAAGATACCATTACTCATTTTCAAGGGCAAAATCATCAATTTGATAAATATAAACTAATTTGAAAAAAAATAAATGTTAAAAAAATATTTTAAAAATTATTTCTATCCACCAAAGATAATTATGTAAAATTGATAAATCTGTTACATATTTATTTATTTATTTATACCAAATTAATTATCATTATTTGGATGAGGATCATGTAATGTGTGTGTGTGTGTTTTTTTTTTTAATGGTTTTCGATAGTTATCATGTAATAGATGGTTGCGTTTGTTATTAACATATATTTTTGGATGATTATCATGTAATGGATGGTTATTAGACTTTTAATGTATAATCGATATATTGAACATATGAAATGTTTTTAATTTTTAATTTTTTGATTTAATGGATTGATTTTATAATGATATCAAAATTGTGGTCATTTTTTACTTTTAAAAAATATAAACTAATTTAATGAAAATAAAAATAACCACCCATTACATGATCATCATCATCCAAACATATGTTAAAAATTAATTTGTTAAAAATAAATAAATAAATATGTAAAAGATTTATCAATTTGATATAATTTTATCTTTAGTGGGTAGAAATAATTTTTAAAAATTAAAAAATATTTTTTGATATTTATTTTTGTCAAACTAATTTATATTTTATCAAATTGACCACTTTGCTCTTGAAATTGAGCAATAAATTTTTAATTGCCCTTATTTAAAACAAGATTCAAAATTAAGAGTCAAATGTGTTACAATTGAAAAGTTAAAGACCAAAATGACATAAGTCCCTAACTATAGGGACTGTCAGTGTAATTCGCCCATCAAATAATTTTAAACTTAAATTTCAAATCTAGGTTGTTTCATGAAACTTTGTTTTCAATATACCACTTTATAGAGTTGAATCAATGTTTTTAAAAAAACACAACCTCATAATTTATTTTTCTATTTCATTCAGAGAATCAATTAAAAAGTTGTGTTGTCAAAACGCAACTTCATTGAAATCTCACTTTTAAAATATTACTTCATAAAACAACTTTGCTTTTGATTTAAAGCCCCTTGCCTTTGGTTAAAAGACCTAGTGAGGTAGAATAATATTATATACATACAAAAAAATTTAAAAAAATTTATACAGCATAGTTCAAATTTATTTTAAGTATAATGACAAGTAAATTTAAGTTGCACCATAATTTTTCTATACATGAAATTTATAATATTATAGAGAAGGATCTTTGTTGCATCTTTTTACTTTCTTGGCTAGTTTCCATGTCTTTTGATTGGCTTTACTTGCTTGTCTTTTACTTGTTTGGAGTCAAACTGAGGGGGCTAGGGAAAGGCAAAAAAAAAGTTAGAATCTTTTGGTTTTCGGTTGGTAACTTGATAGTGTAATTCCCACTTTCAACTTGACAAGAATTGGCCTACATTGGTTAAGCAGTCTGTTTCTCTTTCCTTTTTAAAATTCTAATCAACCAAGAAATTCACAATCATGGGGTGTTTGGTGAAATTTTTTTGAGCTAACTTATGAATTTTGACTTTTAAAAAGTTATTTTGGACTGTTTGATTAAATGTATTTCAAACAGTTTCTGATTCTAATAACTTATTTTAAGTAAAAAAAGCTGATTTTGAGAAGCTGCTCACCCATTTCTGATTATTAGTTTCTGCTGTGGACATGTTAATTTACGGTTATACTCTTAGATTTTTTTTATTTTTATTTTTTATTTTTTTAAAAATAAAAAAAGACCCAAATGGACTATAAAATATTATTATTATTATTTTTTATGAGAAATGTATACAAATAATGAATAATAAAAAATAAAAGTTAATTCAAAAAACTACTTCACAGCTTATTTAACAAATACTACTTAGTAACTTAAATCTATAATCTAACAACTATACCAAACAGATTAACAGCTTCTGATTAAAGTCATAATTTATAATCTGTTTTAACAGCTACACCAAACAGAACCCATGTACTTTGCTTTCTTGACTTGGATTTTTAGGGTGTGTTTGGTTTGTATTTTGAAATAAATTTTCAAAAAAAAATTTAGGGAGAGAGTTTAGAATTTTTTTGATTTGTTTGGTTGTATATTTTGAAAATAGTTTTGGAGTTTGAAATGATTTAATATTTTGTTGTAATTGAGTAGATGTGTGTGAGAGAAAAAATAATTGAGAATGAGAGAGGGGAGAGAAAAAGTGGTTGATTTATGTGTAGAAGAGAGAAAGTGATTTGGAATTTTTTTTTTCCAAAAATTAGAACAAAACAAAATTTTAAAAAATTTTCTCAAAAATTATTTTGAAACACAAACCAAACAAGCCCTTGGCCTTTAAAATCATTTTGATTGCCAACATGAAAATGTGACCTATGACATGTAAATTTTAAAGAAATATTTGTTAATTTTGACATAGATGTTCCGGGATTGTAATAAATAAGAATGGTTTATTATATAAATACATTGACAATCTCTGAATATGTACAATAAAGTAAATGCATACTTTTTAATACTTAAGGAAATAAAGTCTCTATTATGCATAATATTTTGTCTTTTTTTGTTGATACGATATTCAAGACTTTTCCGTTTTATTAATTTATTGTTGATTTATTTATTTTTTAAAAATTCTTGGTGATGTGAGATTGAAGCTGAGGTTGTATTTTATAACAAAATGATTCCCTTATGTAACGGTGGAATCACGGTTCTGTGGTTCCAGTGGAGGATTAGTTTGGTTTTAGATTAAAAAATTTAGAACTATTTATGATTGGTTTGGTTATGAGGTTAGTAGTAGCCTGAATCTGAATATATTTTGGTAAAAATAAATTAAGTCATTTCAATAATAAAAATTTGTATCTCTTAAAAAAAGGATAAAATTTTTAAGTCACAAAACCTTCGTTTGGAATGTTGGCTAACTTTTTTTTTTGACTAGGAGCGGGTCGTGACAAAATCCATAAATTAAGGGATAATTATTATTTCAAAAATAATTAAATAGGTATGAGAGAAGTTAAAAAGGGTGTGCATGGGAGAAATTAAAAAGATTTAGGAGAAGTCAATAAGTGTTGAGTTTTTTTTTTTTTTAAAAAAAAAATCAAAAAATTAAGATTGAGATATTGGAAAATAATTAAATAGGTATGGGAGAAGTTAAAAAGGGTGTGTATGGGAGAAGTTAAAAAAACTTAGGAGAAGTCAATCAGTGCTGATTTTTTTTTTTAAATCAAAAAATTAAAAAATTAAGATTGAAATATTAAAGTTTTCACAAAACTTGTGGTTAAAAACCACATTTTCCTCATATAATATATAGATATCCTAAGAGCATATATTAATAAAATCTAATAATATAAAAAGCCTTGAGTTTGGGACAATTAACTAGTCTATGGGGATGTTTGTTTGGATTTTTTTGAGTCAACTTATAACTTCTAACTTTCGAAAAACTATTTTGGACTGTTTGGTTAACTTTATTTTAAACAGTTTCTGATTCTAACAACTTATTTTAACTCAAAAAAACTGATTATGAAAAGTTGTTCACCCTTTGCTTCTGATTATCAGATTCTGTTGTAGACATGTTAATTTACTGTTATACTCTTAGATTTTTTTTTATTTTTATTTTTTTATTTTTTTAAAAATAAAAAAAGACCCAAATGGACTATAAAATATTATTATTATTTTTTATGAGAAATGTATACAAATAATGAATAATAAAAAATAAAAGTTAATTCAAAAAACTACTTCACAGCTTATTTAACAAATACTACTTAGTAACTTAAATCTATAATCTAACAACTATACCAAACAGATTAACAGCTTCTGATTAAAGTCATAATTTATAATCTGTTTTAACAGCTACACCAAACAGAACCCATGTACTTTGCTTTCTTGACTTGGATTTTTAGGGTGTGTTTGGTTTGTATTTTGAAATAAATTTTCAAAAAAAAATTTAGGGAGAGAGTTTAGAATTTTTTTGATTTGTTTGGTTGTATATTTTGAAAATAGTTTTGGAGTTTGAAATGATTTAATATTTTGTTGTAATTGAGTAGATGTGTGTGAGAGAAAAAATGATTGAGAATGAGAGAGGGGAGAGAAAAAGTGGTTGATTTATGTGTAGAAGAGAGAAAGTGATTTGGAATTTTTTTTTCAAAAAATTAGAACAAAACAAAATTTTAAAAAATTTTCTCAAAAATTATTTTGAGACACAAACCAAACAAGCCGTTGGCCTTTAAAATCATTTTGATTGCCAACATGAAAATGTGACCTATGACATGTAAATTTTAAAGAAATATTTGTTAATTTTGACATACATGTTCCGGGATTGTAATAAATAAGAATGGTTTATTATATAAATACATTGACAATCTCTGAATATGTACAA